TTTTTTTTTTTTTTTTTTTTTTTTTTTTTGTGCTGGGATCGAACCCAGGTCTCACGCATGCTAGGCAAGCGCTGTACCACCGAGCTACATCCCAGCCCGGGAAATTCATTTTTATAAATGTCTGACAGTTGCTTTCCTTTTCTTTGTCCTGATCTATAGTTATCTGTCTTGGAATGCATAAGGAGCATTTAACAATTTAATTTTATCTATAAATTACTGAGATAACATTCTCTGATTTCAGTTACAAGTTCTTTCACTTATATTTCCAGCACTGTGAGCTATATACATCACCAATAGTTAAAGGACACCCAAACTATCTTTAAATTGACACCTCAATGATGAAGGACCAGGCATTTTAAAAAACATTCTTGCTAACTTTTGTCATGTGTTGAGTGAAATGAGCCCTGGGCTAGGGTAAGGTAATAACTTAGGTTCTAATCTTCAGTGGCTACATAAAGCACAATGCTGTACATGCTGTACCCCTCATAGCACTTTGGGCACCTACTAAAAAATAATGAGAAATTGATCAATGAACTCTAAAAGTCTCAAAAATTTCAGATGTTGTTTTTTCTTGCAAGAAGTGTATTTTAAAGAATTGAACAAAGAGAAGGAGTAATACTAATTTTAAAAAAAACACAAACACTGCATTCTTTCTGTTTGTCTGACAATAAGTGCCTTACATGTATTAAAGTATACAATCTTCACAATACTTCCATAAGGTAGATACTGCTATTGTCCCCATTTTACAGGTGAAAATTAAAGTAACTAACTTATCAAAGGCCACTCATGAGGTATGATTAGGATGCAAACCCAGGCAATAACCCATGCCACTTCTCAGAAAGCATTTTGTTAGAGGAGCACAGAAAGCTATTCCAGCCATGTGTGAGAAACAGGAAGAGGAAAAGAAGCATTTATTGAATAAGCAGTCATAGAAAATGAAAGAGAAGACATAGTACACTTAAATTTTTTATGACAGTTCAGTGAAAAGACAAGGAATAAGGAAAAATCCTTGAGGACATAGGGAAAACAATGTCTGTACTTCAATTGATTGATTTGTGGGTTAGAAAATTACACCAAAATTCTTATTGCTTTTATGAATGGGGAAAAAAAGACTAAATCCATACAAACTTTGTATTTGGTTCCTGCTGTAAATACAGCTTAAATACTTTAAGCAACTTAATCTCTCAGACTTAGTTGACTCATCTGTAAGGTGGAATAGTAATTCTTTACAGTTTTGCCACTGATAAAATGAGGTAGCAATCAGAAATGTCTGGTAAGTTTAGCACTTAATGAAGTATGTCTTATTCCAGATCATGTACTATGAACTAGTGGGCCTTAATAATTAAAACAAATTGTTATTCTTTACTTTAATCATAATTTCTTTTTCCACCCCCCTTCCCAGCGATGTGGAGTGGTCTCTTCACTCACTTAACAGAATCTTGGAACAATTTTAAGGGTCTAGATCCAAATTACACAACATGGATGGATGTCATGAAGAAGCATGGCTACCAAACACAAAAATTTGGGAAACTAGACTATACTTCAGGACACCACTCCATTAGGTAAAAAATAAAATAAAATAAAAATAAGTAACCCAAAAGGCTAGCCTCTGCTGTAGCATGTACTTTTTTTTTTTCAGTACTGGGGTTTGAACTCAGGGCCTATACCTTAATCCACTCTACCAGTCCTTGTTTTTTTTTTTGTTTGTTTGTTTGTTTTTTAACATGAAGGATTTTTTTCAAGGGTCTTGCCAACTATTTGCCTGGGTTTGCTTCAAACCATGATCCTCTGAATCTCTGAGTAGCTAGGATTACAGGTGTGAACCATCGGCGCCCGGCTCATGTACTCTTTTTTGATGTTTTCCATAAAGGTGAAAGTAAATCTCTTAACCCCTCAATTGTATAAATTTGGTTAAAGCTTTAGCTTTCTTTACTCTTCTTAAAATATTAAAATGGCTAACATACTGGTAATTTTGTTTTTCTTAGACAATAAAGGTCTATAAGTAGTATTTGTAAAATTGTTTAGCTCATGAGTTATTTTGATTGAGTTTTCATTACATAATGGCAACTTTATTATTCATTTTTTCAAAGCCACAGCCTGCTATTTACCTTTTTCCAGTACTCCAAATTGGGTCTGTTATAACTTTTTTTTCTTTCATTTTAGTAAGCCCTTAAATTAGGCTGGGGATATAAATCAGGTCACCAAGCATAGTGATTTAGAGTAAAGGTCTAGAATCAGATTGCCTACTTCTGAATTCTTGTTTCTCTGTTTGCTACTAAACCTGTAGACGTGTAATCTTGGACACATCTAAGCTAAGCCAACTGCACTTTAATTTCTTTGATGTGTAGGTTAAGCTAAATAATTTGTTCAGGAAATAACTAATACAGCAGGCCTAAAACTATTGTCCTTAGAAATGCCTGCTTATAAGGTTGACACTTAGCCGATATCTGGAACTTGGATTTTAAAGGTGTTTCTAATATTCCCTGGTTGATAAGAATGGCTTTCTGTGTGCCTAGAATGTTTGTATAGTGTGATTTGTGTTGAACACCTGCTTTCCTTCTGAGAGTCTGGAATTTTGATATGAACTAGGCAGAGAATGCCCACCTGATCAGCCCCTAATAAAAACTTGGGTACTAAGTCTCTCTAATTTAGAGTACAGAGAACACTTCACATGTGTTGCTAGAAAAATTAAATATATCCTTTGCTACTTGGGTTGGAAGCTTGTGCCTGGCTCCCACAGGACTTCACCCTAAGCACCCTTTCTTTCTGCTGATTTTGCTCTAACGCCTTTTATATAATGAATCATATTCACTAGTACAACCATATTCTGAGTCCTGCAGTTCCTCTACAAACTGCAGTGTACTCGGGTTTTCCCATACTTGTGACTCCAAACATAAACATAATTAAGACATTAGAGGTAGTACCTCATGCCTAGCAAGTGCTAACTGAGGATGACTATAATAGTAGTAGTGATGGTAATACTGATGATGATGGTAAGAATAAGAAAAAACAGATATAATAAAAACAGTGGTTAGTGAGTGAATTGAATAGTGTTCCCTCAAAATTTCATAAGCATCTGGAATTTCAGAATGTGACCTTACTTGAAAATAGATCCTATTTGAAGATGGATTAATTTAGGATCTCAAGATGACATCATCCTGGACTTAGGGTGTTAGCTCTAAATCTAATGACTGCTATTCTTATTAAAAGAGGAAAAAGGACACAGATGCATAGAGAAGACAGTGTGAGGACAGGGCAGAGATTGAAAGGATGACAGATTCCTAGGAGTCACTATAAAGTAGGAAGAGGCAAGGAAGAATTCTTGCAGAGAGCCTTAAAAAGGAGCGTGGCCCTGCTGACATCTTGATTTCAGATTTCTACCCACCAGAACTGTGAGAGAACACATTTTTGTTGTTTTAAGTTTGTGATTATTTGTTCTGGCAGCACTAAGAAACTAATGCAGTGAGTTTTGAGTAAACAGACACTAAAATAATATAGAATAATCTGAGCATTAATTTTGCTCTTCTAGTTGATGTCAAATTTCTTTCCTTTTCTGACTTCTAAAATCTAAAAGACAGTAATACTGGAAATTCAGAAGTAATCCCAACATCCCCACCCCCTGCAGTGTTTTCTAATCTATCACCAAATGTTGTCAGTTCTACTTCTAAAATATTTCTCCAGCTTACTCACTTACCACCTCCACCAAGCTACTATCATTTCTTGATAAACTACTGAAACAGCCTTTTAGCTGCGCTCTTTCTCTACCTGACCCATTTTATACAGGCAGCAGCAGTGATAGTCCTAAAATATACATATGACCAATCACATGACTTGCATGGTCAGAATCTTTCCACTGTTTTTCTCTTCAGGTTGATGAAAATCAACCACAACGTGGTCTATTAAAAGCCTACATCTAGCTCCTACCTTCCTCATCTGATTTATCTCTCTCTCTCTCTCTCTTTCTGTTGCAGTGTACATCTTATTTTTGTGAAATTCTCTTAATGTGTTTTTTTACTACCTCTAGACTACTGCACAAGCTAATCCTTCCATGAAAAAAACCTCTAAAACCTCTTTCTGCACTCTGCCTTGGAAATGTAGCAGAAGAAAAGGGACAGAGAAGAAGTAATACATGTGGTAGTAGGAACAGAGGCTTGAATCAACTACTTTTTTGAGTTCTGAGCTTGGGGCCACATGCTTGCTAGGCAAGTACTGTGCCACTTGAGCCATGCCCTCCCTCCTCCCAGTCCTTTTTTGCTTTAGCTTATTTTACAGATAGAGTCTTATGCTTTTGCCTGGGCTAACTTCAATCTGCAGCCTATCCCTCTGTGCTACCCTGCCTGTCTTAATATTTAATTTTTTAAATCAAATCTTACTGTTATCCCAGCCTTGCCTCGAATGCCCAATCTTGCCTCAGCCTCCCAAGTGCAGTACTGAAATTACAGGCATGTATCACTACCCCCTACCTGAAATTGGCCACTTTGAACCTGCTTATATTTTCAGCCAGAATTACAAGTTTCTTTAATTTATTACTACAGTACTTCCACTTGTCTTTTTTAGGCATCAAATGATGCTTTCTTCTTGTTCCAATTTAGGGACATTAATCCAACTGTGTATAAAATACTTGCTGTTTATAAAATACAACAGCATACTGAGAATCTACAGGTTGTACAGTTGTTTCTTCTGTTTGATTGTTTTTGGTTATGCTGGGGATCGAACCCAGAGTATACTTGCTTCTTCAGGACAGTTGTTAAATAGGTATTGGTACTACTCATAAAAATGCCACTTACTATAAGACCACAAACAAATTATCTACTTAAAATCACAGTTTTGTCAAATGAGCTTACACTAGATAACCTTAAAAGTTCTTCCACTATGAGTCCAGCATGATGGTGCACACCTGTAATACCAGCACTCTGAGGCAGGAGGATTGCAAGTTTGAGACCAGCCTGGGCAACATAGGGAAATCCTGTCTCAAAAAAAAAAAATCTTCTGCTGTGAAATTCTGTAATTTCAAGGAGTATCACTAAGTGGCTTATAAGTTCCTGATATTTATCTAACCCCTTCACACTATATGTACTGAGCTTATATAGGTTTAAGTTCAATTTTGGTATATCTTTTTAATTGAGGGGTTTGTTTTTTGGGGGTGTTTCATTTTGTTTTACTTTTGCAGTTCTGGGGATTGAATCTAGGGCCTCAGGCACGCTTGGCAAGCACTCTACCACTAAGCTACATCACAAGCCACACACATCTTTTCAATTGAAAGAAGACACTTTTGATTATTTTTGCTTTAAGGTAAAACTGTCTTACCAGTGTTTTCCCAGTATGTAAAGAGGCATATTTTTGCCCTCTGAGGACATTGACAGTGTCTGGAGACATTCGTGGTTAACATCACTGGGGGCTGTTACCGCCATGGTCTGCAGTGCACAGGGCAGTCCCTTCCTCGACAAAGAAGTAGCAAGCCCAAACGTGCAGAGATTGAGAAACCACGTCTAGACAGGTATTTTACACTTGCTGTGGCTTGGTCTTAGAAATGTCACACTTAAAGTAACTGCCTACATTTGAAATCTTTAATTTATTCTTCCATGTTCTAAGGGACCAGAACCATTTGACTCTAGTATGTCAATTTTTTAGAATTAACAAAACCTAATAAAAAATGTTAATTTAGAAGTATGCAAAATTAGGAGATAACTGATTTTATATAGAAAACTTTTAAAACTAGTATTTCTAATATCAATATAATTTAATAAAGAAGTTTAAGGATTCCTTAATGCTGAGTCTTAATGCTAAGACTAAAAGATGATCCTTATTTAATTTAGAAAAGCAAAATCAGGTATTTTTAATATCTACCAGCTCATTTTTATTGAGCTACCTTGCTATGTGCCAGACACTATTTTTAGATGACTTGAATGCAATATAACCAAAATGCAGAATTCTCCAGTATCAGATATTATCCTGTAATGCTATCACAAAGGAAATTAAACAAACTGCTGTCTTGTTTTTGCTAGCTAAAAGTTTAAAACTTAAAATCCAGTCTTCTGTCATTTCATCTTATCATTGTAATTCGGTATGCTCTCTGCTCACATAGCTGATGTTTTTCTAAGCCAATCACGACTAGCAATTTTTCATCCTCTGAAACAAATGAAAAATAAAGGCCTACTTCCAAATAAGAGAATTGCTACATGTAAAATTCTTAGTCTTTAGCCTTTTAGCAAACAGCAAAGGGAAACAAATCGTGGGCTGCTAACAGTACCCTTTCTGTTCCCCTGTCGGGCCTTCAGACCAGCAGTGAAGGCTTTCCAAACAGAACCTGAGCAATGAAGAAGGAACCAACGGATCTCAGAACACTCACCACAGAGCCTTCTTCCTCCTTTCTCAATTCTGCAACCTGATGAATAAATCTGCATATCTCATCCATATCCACTGTTATTTTATAATCTAAGATGGTATATACTTTTAGATAAGTTTTCTACACAATAAGGAGTTTATTCTCTTCCCTATAATGAAGAAAGATATTCAATACCTTGCTATGTTATTACCTTTTTTTTAAGAACACCCCATCTTA